AAATAGTTACTCAAAGTCTAGGCTTTCTTTCCAAGAAGCGACGATTTTTCTCGAGATCACCATCATTTCCTCGACAGGGGATGCCTTCATTAGTAGGGAATCGCAGTGTCCATTAAGTGCGCTATCCGGGGTCCATAGAGATTCGAGAAGAAGAGGACATAGACAATCTCATGGGGTTGAGTACCGATAGGGCATTCCAAAAACGAAGAGGAAGCAAATGATACAGTAGTACTGCAGTTATTGTGTTGTGCACCATATGTCTACAAAACCCGGAGCCTTTTGTCTTAATTTAACTTCTTATACGAGCTCTTCACAGAGATGTTCCTGAAGACTCAGAGAGTTGCTGAAGAGTATGGTCAAGTATCCTTCTGCTCATCACCGCTGTAGTGCTCGTCCTAATCTGATTTCCAGACGTCATGAAAAACGGCTCGTTACCGATCCAACATGAAAACACAACTCAATTACTGCGCATCAAATATGCAGCATTCTTATATTTTCGGGACCTTTGACCAACCCACAGATTTATTCCCAGGAGGGGGGGGGGGCTTGAGAAAAGTTTGAAGTTCATAGGGAAAAAAACCGAGCTCCCAAGATACATAGGCTGGTCCCTTGTGAATTGATCCAAAATACAGCCCGTCAAGCTTCAACTATGCTCAGCTAGATGATGGACAGGGTAAGAAGAGCCTATCAGGTGACCCATAGTACATGTCTGTCACGAGATTAAGTCCTATATGGACTGACAGAGTTCCTTGATCCCTCTGGGACCTGTTATAGCTTGAAAGAATTAAATCGTGACATGTACTTTGTTGGTTATCTCCTGCCAACGGAGTTGTTGATTCAGAGGGACCGGTCGATGGTGTGATGGGCTTACAAAGATGGAGCAGTTGTATTAGCCAGCCTTTTATTCTAAGATGAATGGGGTATCTTTGGTGTTAAACAATCACTTTACTGAATGGAAGTCAATAAGTAACGCTAACTATAAAAGGCCGCATTTATCAATCAATATGCCGGACCCCTACTCTCCCAAATTTTCTGCGGTATAGGCGCAAGGACAGCAGAGGATGATGTTCTACCGTTCGGCCATCGCGCTCGTGTTGGGATTGACCACCCATTTCAGTTCCACTAGGAAAGGAATCGTGAGTATGGGAGGGAGATGGAGTAGTCAATGTATTAGGTGACACCCTTCTACTCCTAGCCGAGCCTGATCGTAAATAACTGATCCCGGTGATATGGAACTATCGATTCGCCTGAAAGGAATTTGAACCACGCTTTAATCCCAGGTAGTTACAGAACTACTTGGCACTTCCCCACCTCCGTTTTTAAATACTAAATACTCCTATAGGAATCCATCATTTAGAAAATGAGAATCTCAATTTTTTTCAAGCATATCATCAGCTATAATTTTCCAGGAAGACCAAACAATTTGTGCATATTCGTTGGAACGGACAGTACCAAATGAATTCGATACACCGAACATATATGTGAGTGGTTTCACCTCCAAAGAGCAGCTGTGTAAAGATACTTTTCATCTCTTGACTTCCAAAACATCGTAGTCCGTTGAAGCATTTTTTGATTTATTATTTTGCAATTTTTCAGAATTTTACATTATATTTCGTTTGCGATGATACCTGTTGCGCTATGGAATGTTGTCAAAGGGACGTAGAAATGACAATCATGTAAGCTTCTTTTTTCACCCTATTGAAGCTTGCCAAAATGTTTCTACAATTTGTACGAGTTTTAATTATTTTTTCAAGAATAATGGGTGATTGAATGGGTGAGCGGCTCGTTTGACAACATTACTTGATAGCTCGAATTTCTTCCCAGCAATACCTTGAAAAATCTAGTTTTATGACTTTTTAGTGTTAAAACCAACAATTATTTGCAGACGAAAAGCTGGGGGAGGGTATGGTCCTACTGGCGACGTTAATCAAACTGAACTTCATGATCCCACCCCTTTTTCAGCCATTAGATGTGATTCCGACCGATAAAGATGGTGACGAGCACAAAGTGCAAAAAGGACGGGGTGCTGGTGATAGAAGCTGAATTTTTAACTGAATTTCCATGCATTTCTAGGTAGCTAGCCCAGGCAATTGGCCCTTCCTGCATGGATATTCAGTGCGTAGGGGGAGGCAATAAGGGAAGAGAGAAGGCGGGGGAGGGGGTAAGACTGAATGAACTATAGCGATTCCACCTTAAGAGGAAAAAATAAAATTTGAAGAAAAATTGAATGATGAACCACCTTTAAAATAATTTTATATGCCTCGTTGACCATGATTATTCCGTGGATTTCAGAGGTGCAACGTTAATTGGCATATCGGTTTGTATTCTTGGTTTCTATGCCTCCGTTTACTTTGGAGGTCTTATATGTGCCTGGAAGAATGGAGCCCTTGGTCGACGACATACGGTCAGCGCTCGATCACCATCACATCGAAAAGAGAGCTCTATAGTGCTCAAAAATGGAACATATGATACGTGCTGATATTCCTCGGAAATCAGGAGGGTTAGTTACAATGTATTTACTATTACGCTTTCTCAAAATGTCGGGTTATACCTTTCAATAAGAGATGGTTGTTTGGGGGAGTAATTTCGGTCGCTGCAGAGCAACGTGAGTCAGCTAGTGGCTTTTAGCAGCTGATTGCATTTGCAACAAACGTGCTCCACTTCTAATGTAATCGGACTCCATAAGGTGGCTAAACACGTCCTTTCTTGGGAGTATCAAGTAGTAGTGGGCGTCAGAATAGGTTTTTGAGCGATTTTTTTCAACTGTTCGACACCAATCTTATCGCGAACTGAACTTTCAATTAGTGACATATTTGGGGTGGCAGCAACGTTTAGTGAAACTATTTCGGGTAGGAGCCTCTGTCTGAAAAGCTTTATATCCTACCCATAGAACAAGGAGGTATCTTTGCTTTCTCCCACTCTATAGTGGGCTTTTCTGATGTGTGTTATCCAGCTGATGGAAGAAATAGCTTCCACTGGATACTACGAGACGTATGATCCAACAGTAGATACGAACTACGCGCTTTCCCAGCAGCGCTATTAATCCAAACCAATCAGAACTTCTATCCCAATGAAATATATTACGATATATGCCCTGTTTACAGATCTACCAGCTGGGCCCTCTACAGTTATTGGATCGTGATGGGATCCCTGACTCGGAAAGCTGGTTTGGGAATGCTGTTTCGTCCTCGCATGTAATTATGCTGTGGCACTCGTTCAAACGGCTCATATTGAGTGAAAATGCATGGCGCAACCAGGAAATGTGAATATTAACAACATCGATTATTCTGAGGTGGACTACATCTTTATTCCTCTACTCAGGTTTAATAGTTTCCCACGTCTTGATCCGTTCCCAGTTCAACAGCCCCAGTTTCCTCAGGAAAACTGGGGCTTACGGTTTATCCCAACGTGATTGCTCAACTTCGAAATCATTTCTCTTAACTTTCTTACGTGACAATAGGAGCCCTCCTCTCAAATTTAACTCGAAGGGACACCAGAAGCTTTCTATCAAAATTCGCTTCCATTTCAGTCTATACTTTACCACTATCGTTTCTTCACCTCGTCTTTGCGATGCTATGAGTGTATCATTACTGTAGTGACATGTCTAGCAGACGCTGTTTATATACATATACATATTCCTGTAAAATGCCATAATGATGTATTTTTATGATTAGAAACTTTCAGACAAATATTTCATTTTGTAATATAATCAATCGTATCATATTTGAACAAATATTCTGCCTTTCATCTTATATCTCTAGTCATGTCGTCCCAGCCTTGTGATTTTGACTTTTCGTCTATGGGTTTTCATATCTTTTTGAAAGCTGTATATTTGCGGTGAAGAAGCTAAATGAAGCGACTTTAAAATCGACTTTTTTCGATGTTGCAGTGACAATGTATTTACATATGTGCTGTATAAAATTTTATTTGTGTTTTTGTTATGCTTCTTCGGTTTCCAGGTTTTCGTTTGAAAGAACGCTTCGGTCGTTTCCATTGACTTCAACTTCCAGTGCCGGGCGATGTAAAACTTACAGGGATATCTAGGCAGGCTAATTGAGCCATCTATCCTCTAGCATCGGTAGAATGACAGGAAACTGTCCTGAGAAGATTAAAATATTGACTTACACCTCGGCTGAGTATTTCCCTCATATAGGCCAGTCAAGTATTTCACAACTTAAACGGTTCCGAATAGAAGTCGAGTGCATGAGCACAGAGGGTTTGGACAGCTGTTCAAAAATCTTATCATTGCTATTCCTCGTTGCGATTTCCTCGGAATGGACCCCTTCAAAGCTACTGGCCCAGCTGTTAGACCTATTTATACGTTGAGGTTCCCTAAGAGCTCAATTTGAACGGAGTGGAAGAAACATTCCACGATGTTACCGATGTTATACACAGAAGAATACCGCAATGCTCTCGTCACGGACGGATTCGTCTTCTTCAGAAACGAGCAGATTTTCTGGGTTAGGGTGAGCTTCGCACCTATCACACGTCACTTTGTCACCGCTTGTCAAATAACGTTTTCAAATTAACAATTTATTTACTGTGGTCAACACAACTGGCCTATTATGGAAAGTAGCACATTATTTTCGACATTGAAAATTCCCCCTAGTCGCGACATTGTGATGAGCTTTACTGATAACGGCAAGAATATGGAGTCTCAGACAAGATTACTTTTTTCTTACCCTCACATGGGAAAGTCAACCAATTCAGCTTCGAGCTAGAATGAATCTGAAGTGGGATGAGGTCGGGAAAGCCTGGGCGAGGTCCAATCCGCTGTCCGAGCCGAACCGGGGCAGTTTTTTGGTTCCTGTTGAGCCTTGAAAAAACGGAATTGAGTAGATGTAAACCGAGAATAGGTCTCCACCAATGCGAGTAGTCCTGTTCTTCCACGATTCCTTCATTGCCAACACTAAACGGCCGATTTGTTGATATTTGCACGCTCTGCTTTCTGAGACACTGACTTAATCAACCGTCTCGTTCGAAAAAGTGCAGGGGCTTATAGTATCTGTAGCTGCCGAAGTAAAAAGCGTGAAAAGTTATTACTTGTCTTATCGAGTAATCCCTCTGTCCTAAGTAAAAGCAGGCGCTTCGTATTGGTAGGAGGAGAAGGATTAGTTCGCTTGGCCGGTTTGCTTTCATTCCCGTTCCGAGCACTTCTATCAAAAGCTCATGTCTCCCGATTGGCTAGAACACCTCACTCTTCTCTACATATTCTTTCATACTATCCTTGGTGATCAACAATTGACGTCCGAAGGAAACACAACGACCCCTCGTAAGTTATATTTACTGAATAATTATTTTTACCCTTCTAGTGCTTCCAGAAGCATCGACTTGCCTAATTTGTCACGAGGCATGCATCAGCAATTTTAAGTGTTTAAGTGGGCTACTGTGGAAATGTACAAGTTACTTATTGGGTTATCCGGAAAGTATTTGATGAAAATTCCGCTTCAATACAGATTTTCCTTAGGATTTTCTAGTAGCTTCCATGGGGGCTTCTATGGAAGGACATTGCCCATGCGCATAGCCATTATACATACGGTTACTTAATTCATCGGCAGTGAAGAGAGCGAGAGAATTTCCCTATGTAAAATATGGCTCCTTAAAAGTAGGAAAAATAAAGGTTGGGCGAGATTGCCATGGCAGAAATAACATGGAATGGGTATTCGGACGAGATTTCAGTTATTGCAGTTGCACAAAGAGCCGACTACAACAAGCAAAAAATGTACAGAATACCTTTCACTTTCGCTGTTGGTCATGACAAGTTGTTTGAATTTCCTACATGGGTTCCCTTGTAACTGGTGCAACCTCTACAACGTCGGTGAAATAAGTCCGAGGATACACACGGGCCAAACTTTGAGCCTCACAACTCCCTAACTGAAATTCCCCAATAGAATGAATTCGAGGCCCCCTCGTATACCATAGTGGCGCTATAGGGCCATTTTCCGACCTTATAGCGCCAGTATGGTATACGAGGGGGCCTCGAATTCATTCTATGGGGGAATCTCAGAAACCTCTTTATCATGAACTGTGCCTTTAATCGACCATATGATTGAACTGATTACTAATCACGCATTCCTGTAAGAGCTCCAATTCCTCAGCTTCACTGCTGGAACACGCTGAAGATCGTCTCAAGTATTTGGCTTTGGACCCCTTTCAAACGATTTGTGAGCACCTCGTTCCAACGATGTACAGCTTAAAACAGCAGTTTTGAAGATGAATTCCGACCTGCTCAACCCGTTGCGATATCATGAAATCTCCTAATACGTCATGAGCATGAGAATGAATAGCGTCTTTTTATAGTACTCCTGGGATGAAATCTCCTAATACGTCATGAGCATGAGAATGAATAGCGTCTTTTTATAGTACTCCTGGGAAAAAATAACGAAAATCTCTGCAGAATCTGGACAAGTTCCGGATTTCCTGCCGATACTTTCCGCACAGTTTATCAGAATATGGTAATGAATGAAAATCGAGTTCAGAAGCACCACTTGATGAAATGTTCAGCTCAAATCTGAACTCCCATCAGAGTTTGCAGGGTAAAAATAACAAGTTAAGAAGAAGATATGATTAACGGTACCTGAAAATTCAACTTCTTGTACATACAGCCCTGCATGATTCCCAGAAAGTGGACCCTACATTTATAGAGCATGAACAGTCGACGGAATTTCCCGACTTTGGGCTGGTGAGCGTTCAAAGTTTGGGACAAATTCTGTCGGGAAAGAGCACATTATCATTTTTCATCGGCTTACAAAGCAGAGTTGAAGATAAATTTCTTTTTCACCGATTTCAGAGGATG